TCTCTCTGTCCTTGGCAATAAAGACAGAAGACACAGAGGATGACTCTTCAAGAGGGAAGTCCTCAAACGTGAGCATGACTGAGATGCAAGAGCCGCTTTCCAGGTACAGAATTACCTTTACAGTCCAATCACATTCACTGAAACAATAATCCATGTAGCAGCTATGTTGAGCAGAACTGTCAACTTTCAACCCAGGATGAACAGTAGACATTTAAAGTTAAATCCAATGCAACCTACATGTATGACAATATCTACTGTAGCTCAAGAATAGATGACATCAGCAGAAGAGTGCAGGATCTAGTTGAAAAGATTAACGACAGCCGCACCAGTGACCAGACAGTGATGGACAGCTTTCAGGAAAAGTTAGTGGAGAAGGTACAAAACGTATTTCATGCTTCTAGTCCTGTTCTACAGCTATGTACATACTTGCAGTACTCATGCAGAAGTAACATGCCAATTGTGGATTGATGGATATATTCTGTTGTCCACTGTTTGTTTTGTACTTTGTCTGATTTTTTTTTACCCCACATTTAATTCCCTAGGTGACAGAGATGTGCCAGCAAATGAAGGAGCACATGTACACGGTCTACGAGGAGAACAGTAATGAGATGCAGGTGAAGCTGCAGGAGCTGTCAGAGGTGTTAGAGAGCTGCACTAAGCTCAATACAGAGCTCATGGAGGCCACCAACGCGCTGGCAGGTCTCAGAGAGGGTCTGGCCATTAGCAAAATGTCCGAACCCTGATCAACTAGTTCCGGTTCGGATGTCTGTATTTTAAACTAGTTCATGTGTTATTCTGAAGTTGTGTACCTGTTCTTTTTTCAAGAGTACATGACTGTGTCTTTGTTATCAGGACAGTAGTTCAGGATACAGCTTATGATTGAATCCAAAACAAAAGCTGAATCCATGTTTTAGTTATGTTCAATTTCAGTATTTGTTGAGTCAATAGATACAACTAACAAGAGCAATTCAAAGATAAATTATTTGTCTCTCAGGTATTAACATTTGATATTAATATATTATATTGCCCCACTGTGTCTATATAACATTTGTATTTCACCAGAACTTAAATGTGTGTGTGTGTGTGTTTGGTGACACAGAATCTCAGCGACACTCACTCATTCAAAGCCATTTATTTACATATCATTAAATTATCACATAATAAACCAACTCATAATGCCACAACTTTTACATGCACCTACCTGATCAATACCTGAAGTATATTTCAAGCATCTTAACTGTACAAATGTCGTGACAGTTGGACCCATCACTTTCTTAAGTTGACCTTACACATATATAGAAGCAGTAATAATCCACTCCTATCTGTAGTTTAAAAAAAAAAATATATATATATATATATATATATATATATATCAATGTAATAAGGAAATCTG